CGACTTTTGGGGATACATGATTTAGCGCGGGAGCATATTCAGCTGGCCAGTGACCTAATGAAGACCAGATATGATTTGAAAGCCAATTCAGCCGGATTTCGAGAAGGTGATCTATTGTGGCTGTATTATCCAACAAGAAAGAAAGAAGTGTCGCCGAAATAGTCTTCAGCGTGGAAAGGACCCTAGCACATTGACTGCCAAGACCAAATCCTGAATTATTCGCTGGGGGCAAAAGTTGTAATTTCATATTTTTTGGCTTTTCTTTTATTTTACAGTGAAAATTTACTTATAATTTTGTTTGGTTTTTATTTTTTTGGCTTTTTTGCATTTTTTGTTGTGTCATTCATATATGAATGACGCGGCCCCCTGGAAAACTTTGACGAATTTTTATCGCACCGGCCACGTCATTCATATATGAATGACGATTACAATTAATTTTTTTTGTTACAGGACCGCGCCGAGGAGAATAAAATAAAATGAGTAAACGGAAGAGAATTTTGACACAAACCGAACTAGAAAACATCGCCGAGGAGGCTTATGTGGATGATGATTCGGCAGAAGACTTCAGCTCCGATGATTCGTTAGAGGATCCGGTATGGCAGCCTGGATTGAAAAAGCCAAATAACCCAGTTTTTCGAAAGCAACAGGAAGCTCTAGATTATGCAGATACTTCGGCCGAGTCAGAAAACGACGAGAAAGAATTGACACGTATGCTGCATGACCTGGAAAGGGGAATGGACCGAGTATATAGGGAGACACGAAGATTTTTTGTTTACAGGACCAGAGGGCTTACAAATTGAAATTCCAAGAGATGCTACTCCTCTTGAGGTTTTCTCATTGCTTGTCGACGACGAAGTAATCACCCTTATAGTTGAGAAAACTAATAGATTCGCACAACAACAGCTCTCAACTGAACGGAAAATGAAAAGTGCACGAATTAATAAAAGGACTCCAACAAGCAGCGAAGAAATCAAGAAATTTCTGGGCCTAACTTTATGGATGGGTTTAGTAAGACTCAGTACTCTAACTAACTATTGGTCGACACGTGAAATCTACCAACTGCATGTTATTCGAAATTTTTTATCCCGTAACCGTTACGAATTACTCCTGGCAATTATTCACTTCAACAACAGTGAAACTATTGAAAAGGGCAATCGCATAGGAAAACTGGAACTCCTTTTGAATACGTAGCAGCAAAAGTTCCAAAAATTATTCTCTCCAGGAGAAACCGGAGTCATCGACGAAACGTTGGTGCCTTGGAAAGGACGTCTAATCTTTCGTAAATACATTCCAAATAAAGCTCACCGATATGGCATAAAACTTTTCTAGTTATGCTCACTTGAAGGATACACATGGGCAGTGAAAATTTATTGTGGAAAATCAGCCACAGGGGAAAGAGATGTTAGACTTGCTCAAAATGTATACTTGGATCTTCTTCGTGATGTTCTAGACCAGGGAATAACATTATATATTGACAACTTCTATACCAGCTACGGGTTGGCAAGAACTCTGTTGGCTAGACAAACACATATTGTCGTAACACTCAGGGCGAATAGAAAAGAGCTGCCAAAGGAAGTTATTACAAAAAATCTGAAAAGAGGCGAGATGATATCTAGAGAGGATGAGAATGGCATAGTTGTGTTGAAATGGAAAGAAGCCAGAGATGAGAGGCCACCAAACATGCTCCTGTATTAGCACCAGTCCCAACAAAAAAATCATTTACAGCACAACAGCAGCCGTTAGCAGACAACAAAACAGAAGCCTCGACAAGCGATGTAGTTCGAGCATCTGACGCAGTACCAGCCAACATCGATCCACAACCCTCAACCAGCAATGCAGGGCAATTTGTAGTCGAGCCAGAGAAATCTACTGTACAGAGTCAAACATCAGACACAGAACCCAATATGCCGCAAGTGAAAGTGAAGAAGCGGAAATCTAAAAAAGCAACACAAAAACCAATAGAAGTTTTGGAATATAACAAGGGAAAGGCGGGGATAGATTTATCCGACCAAATGGGATCGTATGTGACCACTATGCGCAAAGGGGTAAAGTAATATAGGAAGCACTTGAGCTTTTGTTAACGCTTGGGTTGTGTACAAATCTGCAACCAATAAAAAATTATCCATATGCCAATTACGGGAATTTCTAGTAAATGAACTTTTGCAACTAGAACAGGTACCAAAAGAAACAGTAAAAACCCCTAAATCGGGTATCACCACCTGTTGGAAAGAAAAGACCAGAATGGGAAAAAGCTGTGAAGAAAATGCGTTTCATGATACTCGAGAATAAAGAAAGAATCTGATCGTGAGGTGGCTCGAAAAAAAGCAAAAATAGTGTACACCTGCGAATTATGCCCTTCACATCCTCAGATCTGCATGCAGTGTTTCAATGCACAGCATAAATAAATAATTTATGTTATCGTATGTTTTCTAGAATTTAAGATTTGTTTTTTTTTTTTTTAAGTTAGAGTTCTGTTTTTTTATTTTGGAATGGTGTTATGTTCCTTTTCTAAATTATAAGTTCATATTTTATCATATATCTATATCAGAAAGAATTAGTTTTTTTTTGTGTTTGACAGTTTTTTACCTAAAATTATACCTATTTTAAGTAAATTTTTGGGTCTATTGGTCTTGGACAATAACCCAACAAAATTTGCTCTAACCAAGTTTACCTTGAGAATCCTCAGGAGCCACGCAAATATATCTCCCTTTGAAATACACAGGCTGTCGTACATGAATGCATGACATGGCCTAGAAGTGAAACTGAACCGTCATACAAATATGAATGACGCGGCCGGAACGGAAGAGGCCGTGTCATTCATATATATATGACGTGGCAGTCAATGTGAGAATAATCAATGGGATTATTGATTTGGTTTATCAGCGCAACACCAGGAGCATGATCAAAGTTGTACATTTGGACAGACTCAGGACGATCAACCTTAAGAGGAGGGCGGTGTCGCAAAAATCTGGCGGAAGCGCCAGGGTGTACAGAATTGGGCAGCTGATTCTAGATTTTACAGTGCTATTCGGGAAAAAGGGCTATCGCGTTTATTCTTTTTTTACAAGAATGGATTACGGATATATAAAGGCAGGTATTAGCTAGTAGTTTTTAGTTTTAAGATTGACTGTGATATGATTTAGGTAGTGATCATTGTTCAGAGTTGTAAAGAGTTTGGTTGTATGAGTTAATTATTGAAATAATTAGTGTCAGAATGTATAGTAACGTGGATTAAATTTATTGTTGTGTTAATTGAGCCGTGACAATATTGAAAAAGGAAAATAGCTTTAGCTGCTTAAAGCCTGTCGTAAAACTATTTTTGGAGAATTACGTTAGTCACCTATTTACAGAGAATGATATCTAGGACATAATACATATTTTAAAAAAAAATAATATATGGTTTTTAATCACTGAGCTCACTATGTCAGTATTGTATAAAATATTACTAAGTAATTACTTGATTATCTCTTGGTTCATCAAACACATTAATGATTATCAGGCATTATCGATAGGTATCTAGAGCTCTTTTATATTCTTATTGAAAAACATTTTTTTATTTTTTTTTTGTTTTAGTTATATTGTTATGGAAGGCCGTTCCTTTCGATTTATCCACTTAGTGTTTGCAAATCACAAGGGTTGATTGTAGTTTAGTTGTCTGAGTTAATTATTGAAATAATTAGTGTCAGAGTGTAGAGTAATAGCGGCACCATTTCAGTGTAGTTTAGTACCAGTATGCATTGATTATTGTTGTTATCAATGGCTACTGCCTGATTTTAGTTTAAGGAAGAAAGTAACAACAATAACTTTAAAGTTACCAGTTCAAATATTTCTATTTTTGTTTCAAAAATTTTTAATGTTTTGTCTACAGAGTTTTTTTTTTTTTTTTTTTATTATATTTTATTACGGCTTATGTGTTTTTGATTTCCGAAATTTGCATATTATGGTGATGTTCCAAAGACAAAAAAACTTTTGTAATACCTACAATAAGATCTGTGATACAATTATTTTAATGACAAGGAAAGTTAATTTTAAAATGTAAGTAGTAGTCAGTATGTTCCTAATGTCCACCTTTTAATTATTTATTCTGTTTTTTACGTCTATTGTAGTGTCCTGAGGATGCAAATAAATTTCGCGAAACGTCGACAATTTTAAAGAAAACAAACTTCCGCTGGTGGTTTTTTTTTTCCGATCCTACCCCAATCAAAACAAAGGAAAATGATTATAATGCTCAAGTTTGACTGCTCTGGTAAGTACATCTTTGGTAAGTACCTACCTATATTATACCTAACAATAAGGTTTAAATTTTTAAGTGAGCATACTTTTCAAGCAGAAACATTTATTTTTTTTACCCTTTTCTCAGAGAAAATGGCTCAACTTTTAAAAATCCACACCTAGCTATAGAAGGAAGAATATCTACCTAACTTATTATGGCTTAGATATGTCAGATTTGTACCAAGGTTTAACTCTCTCAAATCCACAACTTCTTAAGAAATACATATACTTGAAAGAATATTTGACTTGAAAAGTCTCAAATCTTTTACTCTACACTCAATAAAAGAGGAGTAAAAATAAACGCAACAAAACGTTTTAACTTTTTCAGGCACAGGTAAGTACAATTTTGCCCTTGACCACGACCGCACGTTTTACTGTTGCTAATAAAATTAAACGGCTCGCCTTTTTAGAGGAACCAAAAGTTCATAATGGAATAAAATTAAATCAGCTCGCCTTTTTGGGGCAACGAAAAGTTCATAATGGAATCCTCTTTGTAATTAATTAAAGGAAGTACCTAACAAATATCAATTATCATTATTTGTTGAATAATTTAATTGTTGTTCCAAATATAGGTAGAAATAAGAAATATACCTACCTACGCTACGTGAAAAGTTTGAGCTTTTCAATGGTGAGGCGGATATAACTTTCTAGTGAACTCACAACTCAAATTTAATATCAAGTTTCTCATGCAATTTGTTTGAAAGTTTTGAAAATTGGTTTATACTTACTTGCACAAAATGTTGCACACTTTCCAATAGCATTCCATACATTTTTAGGCTTGTATTGAAAACAGTTTACCAATAATTATTCTTTCCCTGTATCTAAAAAACATACGCACATCAATATAAGGTTTCAAGAAGTCATGCCTGCTGTCAGAAAAATAAGGAAAAAGAGCATAAAAACAAATTTGAGAAGACTAGGTATTATTCACATTGCGAAATAATATGAAATCAAAAAGACTCAATATTGCATTTTTCTTTAGTTTAAAGAATCACTTCAATGAATATTGAAAAAAAAAGTAGTTACCTACGTAAAATATGAAAATATAATTAAATTATCAGCTGAATAATAAGAAAAACAAACAACCAAAAAAACACAAAAATAATATCTTCTAATATAGTAACATAAAAAAAAATTACCAGTTAAATACAAGATGGAAAACAAAAAAGAATTATATTTCTGAATTCTCGCGCGTAAAAATTCGATGCCTTGCAATGATCGTTTCACAACCGACGTCGTAACAAGAATGGACGCTCACGCAGAGAACGCTCCAGGCTCCAGTAGCAGCAAATGCTTTTCCGACCTTCCACAGGTTGTCGGAAATGTGCTCGGATATAAGGATTTGCTAATGGCTTTTACCCTTTATCTTAACTTTAGCAATAAAGGAGTTATTTAGATGTGTGAACCACTTTGATGGAATATTATTAAGATCAGCTCCTATGAAGTGCTCTCAAGATTTTCATTTATCTGAGACGAAAGTTTAATCCAATAGATTACATGAAATGTTGGTAGGTATGTCATTCTTTAACCTGGTATCAATTTGAAAATGATGATGTGCATCTACATCAATGCGGAAGTACCTACATAGTTACAAGCACAAACTAAACAGCACTTTTGCTCTTTTAGTACTGACCAGAACATCGTCCATCAGCATTTTGTTCCTTCTGATAGGCGAGGTATCCCAATAAGACATGCAGGATACAATGAAGTAATTCGGATCCAGAGTAGGACATTCAGTGGAGCTACAAAGGCTCAAAATACGTCACCGATGGATTGAAGGATGTACAACGTCGAATAAGAATTGTTGCATCATCTACCAAGTTTTGTGAATTCTTCAACTGTAATGAATAATTGATCATTATTATGACTTATATGTATATCAGTTACCACTGAAAGTTTGGAATTCTCTAAATAACAACGTATCAGTTTCTTAATAGCGAAAAGAACTGCAAGGACATCCCGTTCTGTAGCAGCAATAAGCTCGTTTTTGTCTAGTCAAGGTACTTGATACATATCATATGACATGTTCTCTTCCCTCATAGATTTGAGACAAAACACTCCGTAAGCACTATCGTCAGTCTGCAGAATAAATTCATGATCAAAGTTTGGACATGTTAGAATGGGCGATGAAATCGAAGCATTTTTAATCCCTCCAAACACAATTTAACTTCCTTTCGAAATAGAATAATCTAAGAAGCTATCAGGGGACTTATCAGTTCCAGAAATAAAATCGTGTTAGGCAATTTGGGAAGGTTTATCAATTTTTCCGAGTAGCTTTTTTCATAGATTTCGGCTTAAAATCCCAGAATAATTTAGTGTATGGAGTTTGGGGGATCCCAAAGGACCATTAGGAGTAGGACACAAAATCTCAACAAAAAAAAAATTCAAATTTCATCGTCTTACTACTGAGGTACCTACCTTATGATTTAGATTTTGGAAAATTTTGAAAGGTCATAACTTTTTTTGTTTTATAGATAAAAAGCTGAAATTTTCAGCGATTCTTATTCCAGTAGAGGACCGCAATCCCTAAAAATTTCAGCTCATTTGGACTTATAGTTCCAGAAATAAAAGGTGTAAGGCAATTTGGGGTGATTTATCAATTTTTCAATTATTCTGAGTGCCTTTTTTTCATAGAATTCGGCTCCAAATCTCAGAATAATATAGTGTGAGGAGTTTGGGGGATCCCAAAGGACCATAAGGACACAAAATCTCGACAAAAAAAAATTGAAATTTCATCGTTTTAGTACCAAGGTACAGGGTGATCTATTATAAATGTCACCCCCTTCTAACTTTTCCATTTGACATTTTTGACAAAAGTGTCAAATACAAAAAATTTCAAGAAATTGTCAAAATTTTTTCACTAAGTCAATTTCAGGCATACAGGGTGCGTCAAAAAAGTGCAGCAGCGTGAAGTTATATTTTTTTAAATGGAATACCCTGTATATTGTGCGCTTATTTGTTAGTCCCTTTTTACCTGATTTCAACGATATACGTTTTGATATATCTATCTTCAATAGTTATAGGGAAAAACATGAAAACTCCTTTCAAGGTTTCATATTAAAAAAAGAAAAATTATACCATTTAAGCTTTAGAGAATTTTTTTTATGAACAGTTTATTGTTCAAATTTTATTCATTAATATACAAGGTGAACTATTATGATAAATCCAGATGTCTAAAGTTAACATTATAATTTTTTTAAAAATAACATCAGAGACCTAGGAAGGGATTTTCGTGTTTTTCCCTATAACTATTGAAGATAAACCGAGAAATAAACATATCAAACCATATATCGTTGAAATCAGATTAAAGGGAATTAACAAATAAGCGCACAATATACAGGGTGTTCTATTTAAAAAAATGTAACTTCACACTGCTGCACTTTTTTGACGCACCCTGTATGCCTAAAACTGACTAAGTTAAAAACTTTTGACAATTTCTTAAAACTTTTGTATTTGACACTTCTATCAAAAACGTCAAATGAGAAAGTTAGCAGGGGGTGACATTTATAATAGATCACCCTGTACCTATGATTTAGATTTTGGAAAAATTTGAAAGGTCATAACTTTTTTTCTATAGGAGATAGAAAGCTGAAATTTTCAGCGATTCCTATTCCAGTAGAGGACTACACTGAAAATTTCAGCTCATTTGGACATTTCCAGAAATAAAATCGTGTTAAGTAATTTGGGGTGATTTCAGTGGCGGACCTAGGACCTTTCGGGCCCGACGCATAAAAAAATTTTGGGGCCCTATCATGTTTTTTTTTTAGTATTTTCCTTGTGGTGCTAGAGACAATAGCTGACGTCACACACATAACCTCATTTTTGATAGGGGGACAAACAAAGCGTTTGTTTGTCTCATGGCCGTTTTCATCAACTATTTTAGGGAAGCCTTAACGATAAGTATTCCTCAAACTGATATTTCTGCATGGAAAACTTAGGAAAACTGTCATTTTAAGGAATACTACTTAAGGCTTCTCTAAAATATGTAGTTGGCGAAAACGGCCGTCAAGTTTGTTTGAGAGAGGTAGGTTGTCTGATAACTTCATGACGTCATTCGGGATGCCTGAACATAATGCAAATCTCCATAGGGTACCCCAGATGCCTCATTAAGTTACCCATTACCAGGCAACCTATCAACTTTAGGAACCTTGGTTAATGATATGTCGGTCCCCCGAAAAGTGACGTTATGTGATTTGTAACGTAATAGCTATCGCCTAACCGATGTGTGTAATAGTCCTTAAACGCTTTGTTTGTCCCTCTTTCGGAGGTGTGGTTATGTGTGTGACGTCAGCTAGTGCCTAATTGAAAAACAACTTTATTAAAAGTCAGGCAAATATAAATTTGCCGAAGAAAAGAATGCGGACAAAAAATTGACAGGTGTGTCAACTCCTCTTCTTTGACAGTACATCCATAAAGCGATTGGCTGCAGATGATTCAAATCCATTTGACAAGGTTCACGATACAACCCACCAATCACCATGTGTGTCCACCATTTTTCTGCTCTTCGCTCCTCAGACGTCGCCGGCAAAATTAAATTTGCTAGACTGTAAGAACATATGAGACAATATGAAAACAAGTTGAACGAAAAAAATTATTATTTGTAAAAATTCAGGAACTTTCCATCCAAACAAAAAGAAATATAACATGTAGTAGTCTCCACCCCCACTTACGAAAAGATCAAAAAAGTAAAACATGCATCCCGCGCGTCCGCGGTTGCCACATCGCGTCGAACACAGCAGGATTCCTTAGAGGTATACAACGTTGCCGTAACTTTCAAAATTTAATTTTCAATTTTTTTCATATTCATGAGTGTTTTTTTTATTAATTTTTTTTATCAATGCCTTTAGAATCTGGTTGTGTGGGGGCCCCTCAGCTCTGGGGGCCCGACGCAGAGTGCGTCCTTTGCTTCATGTTAGATCCGCTACTGGGTGATTTATCAATTTTTCAATCTTCCTGAGTGCTTTTTTTCATAAAATCCGGCTCCAAATCTCAGAATAATTTAGTGTGTAGAGTTCGGGGGATCCCAAAGGACGATTAGGACACAAAATCTCATTAAATTTTTTTTTTAGAATTTCATCGTTTTAGTACTTAAGTTAACTACCTTGTGATTTAGATTTTGGAAAACTTTGAAAGGTCATAACTTTTTTTCTATTAGAGATAGAATGCTGAAATTTTCAGCGATTCTGATTTCAGCTCATTTCGACCTATTGTTCCAGAAATAAAATCGTTTTAACCCGGCACTCGCCAGGTGAGATAGCATTACGAGTTCAGACACATGGGGTGTGACATACCCCATTAAAAAAATCATCTTGAATATGGTCGTACATTTTTTTATTGCAAACTTTTATGTGATTATTTTCAATTTTACTTACAAAATAAAGACGGTCTATGCAAATAAAAGTTTATTATAAAAATAATTAGGAGTAGAAGCTTTACTTTTTTGTGCTGAAGCAGTAGGTAGTGAGGCTTGCAATACTGCTGAAGCACAAAAAAGTGCTTCTACTCCGTATGCAACACGCTATTTTTTCTCCAAACGAATGGGGTAAGGTCGGGGACAAGTGGATGGTTAAGCGGCAGTAAAAGTACGAGCGGCACTAAAAGTACTTTTGCTGCCGCTCCAGCGGCACTAAAAGTACATCTACTGCCGCTGCGGTTGCCTAGCAGCATAGAAATTAAATTTCTACCACCTCGACAGGTGTTAACCCGCTGGATTTGCCTAGCAGCATAGAAATCAAATTTATAACATCTTTACAGGGGTTAACAAAGTGACGTTTTTTTGACGTTTGGAGAAAAACATTATTGCATGCTTACGGTATATGAACTTTTCACAACCGCGGCACACATAGGTATTTTGATTTTCTGTCTTTGGCACGGGGATAAATTGAACATCTTCCTTGCTGGTCTGATCTCTTTTTTTTGCAGGTGGTTCTGGATTTTCTCCCAGGTTTGAGATGGTGCCCCTCAACTCTCGCGTGATTCTGGGATTTTCCATCCGGCTTCTTTAGTGGCCCTCCACTAATTGAATTCCCAACTCCTTGAGAAAATGTCTTCTCTGCATTTTCTCTCCGTTATTATTCTCTCTATGTATAATCTGGTTGCTGATTCCAGCAGAGTTGAGCAGAGAGAAAAATAGTATTAGAAGCCATCGTCAACTTCTTCGGGATACATTATATGAGGCTGAAAGCTCATGGACTACATCTACTCCGCATTTAGCAAAATTATGAAATGAAATTGTTTCTGGAAGCTTTTTATCTGTGTCATCAAAGGTATCATCGTGATGCATAGAGGACTG